TCATGTTTTCCCCTTAATCAGTTTACATTTTATATTCATTATTGCTAAGTAACTGTTAGCAAATTAAGTGGCTCAAATCAATAAGCAGTTATTATCTCCTAGAGTGAGTGGGTCAGGGGTTTGGGCACGGCCAACTCAGGGGCCCTGCCTCAGGGCCTGTCATAGTGCTGCAGTTAGTGTCTGCCAGGGCTAGAGCCGCCTTGGAAAGCTCCCTGTGGAGGATCCCCTTCCAAGCTTGCTTACGCCTGCTGGCAGGAGCCGTCTTCCAGAGGACTGAGTTCTTCAGTGGCTGTTGGCCTGCGGGCACCCTCAGTTCATTACCACGTGGGTGTCTCCACAGGGCAGCCCAGAAAGCAGAAGCCGCTTCATCACTGAGCAAGCAGAGACAGGGAGAGAGTGTAAGTGGGACAGAGACTACTGTCTTTAAAATCAAGTCTCAGAAGGGATATCCCACCACTTCTACCATATTGTATTTATTAGGAGTCTTTACCACGCCCACACTTGAGAGGAGGTGCCACCCAGGACTGCAGTGACTGAAGTGGGGATTGTTGAGGACATGTTAGAGTCTGCCTGCCACGTGTTTATTGTGGTAATTGAGTGACCTATATCTGTATTTCTGTTTACTATCTCCTCTTCTTCAATTCCTCATACTTCTCTTTACCCCTGTATCTCTCTCTCTCCCTCCCTGCTTTTCTTCTCTCTGCTCTTCCCTACCCTGATGTTTGTGACTGGCTGTGCTTGGACTCCTGCCCTCCTCCTGCCTTTCTCTTCCTGTGCTTTTCCCTTGAGGTGGCCTTGGACAGGTGCTGGGGATCTGTCTGCCTGTGCGGCTCACAGCTCTCCCTCCTCCTTTCCTCCTTTCCTTTGTCTTAGCTTGCTCACTCCTGGCTCAGGTCTTCGTGCTGCATCCCATTCAGTTTGCTAATGTCTCCCTATAGCCCTCAGCATTAGGTTTGATTTGTTCATTTTATTTTGAAAAATTTTAATTTATATTTGGTTTTTAGAGGTGTGTCTGTTCCAAGTTTGTAATCCTTTTTCTATAAATCAGAACTTACTGCTTTGTCTTTTTGAGCAACTCAAGCATACTTAAAATCCTTCATCAGTTGGAAATTATAATAGTGGCTAGATAGTTGATGATGTTAAGTATTTAATGCTAATTTTTAAAAATTAGCATTAATTTTTAAATGGACCCAGGATCCAGGGTCAGCAGTGGCACGGTGGTTCTGCTTAAGAAAGTAGGACTCATCTTTAGAACAGTCTCTGGAGGTCTGCATAGATGAAATGCTCTGAGGGCTCCTGGTAAGAGTGATGGAAGGTGGAGGTGAACTGGCTCCTTGCATCCGAGTGTTAAAGCTTGGTGTTGGCTATCTGGAGATTTACTTCATTCTTCTGCATTGTGTTTAAATTTTTACGCAGTACAGAGTTTTCAGAATCTTTTGTCATTGTCCCATAAAATCAGTTTCATGTGGAGTGAGTTCATATCTTGGTTGCTGATAGTCTTTCTAGGTGTTTCTTCACACATTGATTGGGTTTTCAGGCTCATTTTGAGTGGGAAGATTAGCTTTCATCTGTTGGTGGTTTGTTTCCCGTCATTTTCTGTGTGGCCTGTTCACCCTCTCTGGCTTTGGTCTAGCTGTGGACACCTTTACTCAGGATGGGCTGAGTTGGATTATGCTTTCTGAAGTCTGTCTCTGTGTGGTCCCAGGGATGCTGCCAAGCCTGGGAACAGGGTCAGCAAGGTACCAGATCCACTCGTGGTCTGGGGCTGGATCTGTAGCTTCCTGGCTTCCTAGGTTTAAGCACACTAAGCTTCGTGCCTAGGTGGGGGTGTTCAAGAACTTGTGTTAGCTTCTTCCCCTAGGAGGGCCCTGCATTCCAGGCGGCCCACCTGGCCGGGTCCCACCTCTACGAAGGCCCCACAGTATAGAGGCACCACAGTATAAAGAGAGATCCTGGCTGCCTCTGCCTGCTCTCTAAGCCCATGGCCCAGCAGGCCTGTGACTTCAGCTCTGCTTACTATTTTGCATCTCTGTTCCATGTTGGACACTTTCATCTTGTTTTTGAACCTGTCCCTGTCTTTTGGTGGTGTGCTCCTCCCTGCCATCGCTCTGTGTTTGGAGCAGCTAGACGCATCAAAGGACGAACTTGCTGTGCTATCTTGACTGGAGGAGGTCCTTGACTGAAATCACTGAAGTTTCCTTCAGCTCCATTTAAAACCTGTCCTCCACTGTGTGATCTTCATGATGCTGATAGTTTGCCTTTGTATTAGACACAACATACTTAATTTAGTTTTTTTCCTCAAAAGATTTTCTTGGATATCTCCTTAGACAAAATAACAACCTGCTACCTCATGAGTTATTCTGTCTTTTGGTCTCCCCAGCACATATCGCTCTCTGAAATTGTCTTATCTGCACACACATTTGCCTCTCCCACTGGGATCTAAGCTCCACGAGAGAAGAGACTTTTTCTCTGGTTTCGCTGATGTGTCTGTAACCCTTTACAATGATGCCTGTCACATGGTGGACACTCAGTAACATGCTGATAAATTACTGAGTCAGTCCTTGCAGCCTGCCTGTGGCCCTCAATCTCAGTGTCATGCAGAGAGCTCCTGTGGGCAGGAAGCAGGCATGGGCTGTGAGTGGCTTTTATAGAGTGGCTCTGCTTTGTCCATTGTCCTCCATCAGCCTTCCATCATTGAGTGCCTGCACCAGGCCAGGCACTGAACCCCAGCCATCTTCTTCACATTCGCTTTCTGCAGCCCTTCTTCCTGGGCCACACCCTGTCATTAGTCACAAGGATTTCATTGCACATCTCAGGGACGAATAGAGCAGGATTGCAGTGACTGTACATGCAGAAGCAGAGGTTTTCAGGCTCGCTTTGATACTTTAACTACCTCTTTGGCTCACTTGAGACAAAAGCCTTAGGGTTTGCATGGAGTACAAGTTGGAGTTTTCAATGGCAGGGGCAGGCTCACCTCTCTCCAGGCAGCTCACGCACTCCTATCTGATCTTTGCCTAATCGTATACTGGTGGCATGAGTAGAAAGGAGGCCTTGAAGCCCTTCAGTGTTCCTGAGTGTCTGAGTGGTCTCTCTGGACCTAGGAGGTGCTGAAGAGCAGGCATCTTTACCCAGCGCTTCAGATCTGCATTCTGCTGCTGACATAGCCTGGAAACTCTAGGCTGAGTGTCCTGGGAGCCTCTGTCCAAAGGGAGCATCAGAAAGTGTCAGGTGGATGGTGGGTGGAAGCATGCTCAGCTTCCTCATCCATCCTGTTCCACTGCTCTAGCTGAAGAGCCTCGTGATGGTTTTGCTTTCACATGTCAGCTTCCTGCTTGACTGGGACTACCGGCCAGAAATGATAGGTCCAGAGCCCTCAGAGATGCTCGGTACTGGATACTTAATTGTATCCAATGAGCTTCTCCCACCAAGGATCATTCGTAGGGCTGCACAGATTAGTCCTGCCTGCATTCCTGGGACATAGCAGCCTCACATTGTGCTTTGCAAGATTCTGTGAGGAATCCCTAGCACACAGTTCCACTGTTTATGTTTAGCTTTCTGAAGTGTTGGCATTCCAAAGACATTCCAGGAGCCTTCTTGGCATTTTTAAATATTTTACGGCATCTGGGAAGCCAAGTTACTGCATTTTTCTACTCTACAGGTGAGGGGAAATAGGAGAGCAACTGACACAAGTCTGTGACGGCCCCTCAGGTAGAGGTGTGCAGCCTGCTGCCCTACCTGCCCCATTGGCCTGGCATCCCAGGGCCATGTGGTTAGCTCCCATTAGTGACCACTTTGAAGATGCTTTCAGAAGGTTCCATGCCAACAGAAGTATCATTGCCAAGAAGTTCATAGGCTTTCAGAAATATGGGTGCCAGCAGGAGCCTAGAGCAGTCCTTAGACATACTCAACCCCAGGAGGGGGCAGAAGGCAAGTGAGTGGTGTGATTCTTCTCCACAGGCATCAGGGGCTGTCCTTGGGGCCAATGTTGCTGTGACTTTGCACAGAGGGTGGAAATGGTAGGACTTGGGGCATGGTCCTAGGAAGGCCCCAGACTGATGACACTGGTATCCACCAAGTTAGACACATATGCTTTCTGTGCTGTGATGCTGATGACCTTTGTGAACCTGTCGTACCCATGCCGGTTGAGATCTCTTTCACCCTCAGACCAGGTGGGGCAGGGAAGATGCTTCTGCTCCAGTTGCATATATCATATCCAAGGAGGCTGGGAGTGATTTCCCCTACAGAAAAGGAAATGGTTCAGGGTCTCCTAGCTAGTCGAGGAAGGGCTGGCCCAAGCCAAGTCTGTCTACGCCAGTTTGCTCATCTGGGTTAGCTCATCCCTCACGCTCTAACTGTGAACTCAAGGGAGAGCCCTCTACCTTGTGTTCCCTCATTCTCATTGAGCTACTGAGGAAACAGCACCTCTTAGTGTATAAATCTTTTTTGCTCTTACTGTGTGCATGCATCCCTCCCCTCACAGCTAAGAGCCTGAGACTATGCCAAGGAGTTCCCGGTGGTATAGTTCTGGCAGAACAGCTCCTCCACCAGGCACTGTCTGCTTTGACCCAGGTTCAAAGCCAGTTCCTCTCTGTGTAGCTGCTAGCCGACAGACAGTTCCTTAGCCCTTGCATTGTGTCTGCCTCAAGTCCATAATGAGGAAACATAATAAGTTTCCTGCCTTTAGAGGTGTTGGAGGGAGCATAAGAAATAATCTGCAGGAGGCACATAGAACAGTATTTGGCAGATAGTAAGCATTCAATAAATGTTAGTGATTATTGTCTACAAAATGGTTCTAATAATTACCCACCTTGAAAGGTTGTTGTGAAATTAAGTATAATACATGCGAACAATCTGCCATAACCCAGGTTTTTTGGTTCATTATTGTGACTCTTCTTATTGTGAGTGTTGTTGCGAGCAGGAATGTCAGCTGCTGTCTCCCTGCAGCACCCATTTGGCACCATTGCTGCTGGCTAACACGGGCTTTGTTCTCTTTCAACTAGGCCAGGGAGCTGGGAAGCAAAGAGGCAGAACTCAGACGCTGTGATACCTTCTTCCAGGAGCAGCTGGGGCACATCGAGAGGAAGGTAGGACTTACGTGTGGCTGCTAGCCAGGGGGGCCAGGTCCCACTCCAGCATGATAGGGAGCGGCTATAGGCTTAGTGCCCGCTCACGCGGTACAGTCACCTTGTGGACCCGCCCTCCTGCATCCCGCAGCAAGCACCACAGACCCAGCCTTTCAACAAGTTGCATTCACAGAGATAATTGGTTTTTAATTGGTCCGGTTTTTGTCCAGTGTGGCTGGCTCTGCTGTAGTTCAGTTTTAGAAAAAATTTCCTTTCACCACAGGGCGGTGCTGAGACCCAGTCTACCTTTTTCACTTTAGTTAAGCTGCGCTGGGTAAAAATAATAATAACGTGAAGTCTTGCTATACAAATACATTAAAGTTGTATTATTGATTTTCTCCTGGGAGTCAGGAAGATCAAAGTGCACTGCTGCTACACACTCACTGCTTTGCTAAGAATAAGCCTTTGAAATGAATGAGATTTAAAGACACATCATCACGCCTCTTCTTAGATGCCCACAACGACCACTGAAAATTCATCTGTAATTTGCTTACTTTTGGGGAGTTTAATTTGTTGATCATGACAGTTTTTCCAAAGAAACGGCTTAAAACATAGTAGGAATGGTTGGGAGGTTAAAAAAAAAATTGTTTTCCCTCTTGCCTGAGATAGCGTGCCAAGCAACCTGAGCCATCACGTATTGCAGGCAGATCTTCGAGAATCATTTGTCACAGTTTGGAGCTTTGAAACTGACAGTTTGCTTGAGGGGCTTGATTTCCACAGGGGTTTTCTCCCACGGTATGCTACAGTGGTACCTGGCAGAAATGTGGCTTTCTGGATTTCTAGGCAGAAGGGATGGCTAGGAGGTTATACCGTGCCCATCACTAATGCTGTGCCACCCTGCAGTCTCAGGAGCTGCCAGGCTTACAGAGTAGCCCTTAACAAGCCAGTCTTTCTAAGGCTAGCCTCATGCGCAGGTTTGACTAGAGCTTGTAATGACAAGGATTGTGATTTGAGATCCTGGAAAAGGGTAAAAAAAAAAAAAAAAAAAAAAAAAAAAAAAAATCCACCAGCCACAGCTCTAATTATCACAGTTGCCCATATGTTCCTAGGCACAGATTTTTTTTAGGGGGGGTTGTGTGTGCAATGCTTTGGTCTCCCGCTGTGCTCCTCTTATGATTCTGTCTCTGGGTTTGGCTGCTAGGAGCATGTGTACATGTGTCTGTTTGGGGTGGAAGGGAAATAGCCTCGCAGTATTTTTCCTCCTCTAAAATCTATTTTCCCCTTGTCACTCTCATCTCTACTTCAGTTCTCCTCCTTGAATCCAATCCTCTGCTTTGCTGAAGGAGAGGAAATTCTTCTGGCTGAGACCTTCTGTATCATCTGTTCCTCCCCTACTCCTGGTAAAGGGGAGTCTGGGCTCCTTACATATGCAGATGTGAGCTTTGAAAAAAAAGGCAGGTTCTCTTATATGCTTGTGAACAGTTATTAGATGCTTCCAGAAGGAGGTGCAAAAACATGATCTCCTTTCTGACTCTTAAATACAGCATTTTGTGGTGATAATAAAAAAAGGAAAGCACCTCCACATCCCAGGAAATGAAGATTGGTGTGGGAGATAGTGCGGATTACAGGGGAGCCAGAGAAAGGGAAAAAGCAGCAGAATAATAAGGCTTAATTGTATTAGTTTTGAAAAAGGTTTTCAATCTTTCCCATGGATAATTTTATCCCTGTAATAGCTGGGAAGATGGAAAACATGGCATCCAACAATCTTTTTTATTAGCTGTTGCTTTTATACAATTGAGCTTTCATTTGTTGAGTACTGTCAGACCTTGACATTTCCAGCTTCTGTGCACGCAGCTCCAGGACCTTCCAATCATCATACTACTTTCCTTTTCTTTTTTTCCCCATTTCCTTTTAAGTTTTGAAACTGACAATAGAAAGCTTTGCTAGGGGATGTTTCATCAGCTATCGCATCACCCTGACTACCTGAAACATCTCAGGGTATGCGCACAGGTGAGGCGTGCAGGTGGGGATGGGACAGCTGTCGTGTCCAGGCTGGCTGGAATGCCACCACCCTTTGCCTGTAGGATTCAGTCCCCCTCAGTTATTGTGACAGGTGGTGAGAAGTGTACACAGAACCCAGCATTCCGTTCAAGGAAAAGGTGATATCTTGACCCTTTTGTACCATTGTTTGTTCGTTACACCCACACAGCAAGTTCTAAGTGAAGTGATTTCCTCCATCTCCTCATGGAGAGCACTGAGGTGCTGAGGATGCTGGGCTCTGTGAAGTTCTCACGGCAGCAGAGGGTGGGCCCTGAACATGCTGTCGCAGAGTGGGGGCAGCAGTATAGTTCAGCCCAGTGCGCCTGGGCACCACAGCCCTGGGGCTCCACACACTCTGTATTATTATCCTTTGCCGTCACTGACTCCCTCACATCTCTGTTTGGAGATATCTATGCCTTCTGCAGGAAGTCAGTGAGTGGTTTAAAGGAAGCAGTGTCTGTAAAAACAGGGCAGATTCTGGGTGCCCCTCAGGGCACCCAGTATTGGGGATTGTGTTTTATGTCAGTGTCTGAGTTTTAGGTTAAAGAATCAGTGTGCGTTGTATCTGTGTGTGTTTATGTACCCCATTACAAGCTCCCTGGGATGGGAAAGCCTCATCTCTGGGCTGTGCCAGCCTTTTCTGTGATGCCTGCCAGGGGCCCTCCCACCACTGCCTTGCCCCTGGTCAGGCAGGGTACATAGGGCAGGGGACCAGGTACTGTTCACAGCCAGTTATTCTCATATAGGGACAGTCAAAGAACAAGTTCCTTTCGTCTGTAGTTAGGCACATGAACCATGAAGGTGAAACCCTCACCTGCCTGCACTGTCATGATCACTGACCCTTTATCCAGCTTAGCTACTGCTCTACTGGATACCTGGCCTCAGAGCTTTTCTCACTTGTCAGTTGATGATTTCTGGGAGGAAACAAAAGAACTAGGAGTGAAATCTACCCACATCGTGCCCAGATCAGTTTTCCTGAGCCTAGGATGACTCACATCTCTTCAGAACCACTGCCTCTTACTGTTTTCTGGCAGGAACTTCTGGGTTAAGTGGCCATGAGGTGCACCCTGATAGCCTGTAGAGCTGACCGTTTTGGGTGGCAAAGACCTTGCTTTCTGTCGTCAACCATGGAGCTGAGTTGGGTGGTGGGGAAAAATGTGCTTCGAGACCTGGCAGACCTCACCCAACTTCTGCCACAATAACAGAACAGCTTTGTGACTCTTGAGCCTGCTGTTTGTGTACTCCAGCCTCAGTTTCCTTATCTTTGAAGTGGAGATTTTAAGACTAACCTGCCAACTGTTTTGGGATTAGTGATAATTTGTTTACAGCAACCATCAGAGGATTGGTGTAAGCATTCAGTTCTCTTTAATGCTATTTCCATCCTTCCTTCTTTAGTAAATGTATAACCACTCATTCATTCCACGTTGATTTAAGCCTGCCAACTGCTAGGCACTAAGATGGTTCCAGCAGTTGTTGTTCCTGCCTCATGAGATCTCTCTGGTTTGGAAGGGAGAGGGATGTGAGGATTAAGACACCAAAGGAAGGGGGTGCCTTTGTGCTGCTTCCTGTGACCAGAGCACCTGCCACTTCTGTACCAGACCTCATCTTACTCTTTCCAGACCCACCATCCGTTCATTGGAAAAGGGATTCTTAGAGCTAGCTTCAGAGACTGAATCTAAGAGAAAGAAAGAAACTTAAAATATATGTGTTCTTCCTGGATCACATTTCCCCCAAGAATGTAAGCCTTCCACCCTGCCCCCCTCAGGTGCACACAAGGGTGAGCAGTCTCTGGCTATAGGCCATTCTGTCGGTGACTCCCAAAAGTGTGGCAGACACGGAAGAGCTTCTGTGGACAGTGGAACAGATCTTTGGTGTTAAAGACTGGATATGGTGATGGGGGGTGGGGAGTAATAACAGGAAGGGGCCGGGTGTTACCGGTGTGCTGGTGAAGATTTACTTAGGGATGTACTCTGGCTGATCAGCCAGTGTCAAACTCCGCAAGCAGTGGGATGCAAAGCTGCTGTTTTTACCCTCCTTGCTTTTCTCTGGGACTCTGCTTAGGCCTTTTCCCCAAAGCTGCAGGCTCTGAAGCACCAGTTCCAACTACAACTGGGCCTTTTCTCCTCACTGTAACTGGAGAGTGGTAAGCCAGGAAAGGTGAAGGACTTATCCAAAGACATGAAGCCAGAATAGTGTAGTTCCTATACCCTGGGGCCTCATCTCCTCTGAGTTCCTATAATTGTGATTGCTCTGGCTCCCCATTGGTGCAGTTCTATGTGTCTTACCCCGGGAAAGTCACTAGGACACTGTGCCAGGTACTGTGAGGCCAGGACTGGGTACAGGATAAGGGTGGGATGTGGAGCTGCACCTCACTTGGCTTGTCTCTCCTGGCATCAACAGAAGCACTTTCCTCCCTCCTGTTCTCCCCTGAGGCTGGTACCCTGTCAGGGATCTAGCACACACCACCCTGCCTTGTGCTTGGTAGCATCTGTGGCTGTCTCCTGTTCCCAACAGGGAAGGTCTGTGAGCACAGAGTCCTTGCTAGGCTGACTCAAAGGAGATGATTCATCACCAAGAGCTGGAATAGAGTATCTGGCATGGAGTAGGTGCTCAGTAAATGTTTGCAGGGATAAGCAGAGGAAAGTGTGTGTCTGGAAGCAGGAAAGAGTGATTTGGTGGGCCCTGACAGGAAAGGAGGGAGGCTTGCCAAGGAGACTTCTTGGTGGGAGCTGTGTGTGGAGAAAGAGCAGGATGCCCAGGACAGCCTGAGGAGCAGGATGTAGGAAGCTGGGGCTCTGGATGGAGCTCCACTTCAGCCTGGTGCTCCCGTGAAGGGCAGCAATGGGTGGTGTGACTTGGGTGGCTCCAGCCAACTGGTTGACAAACAAGGCCTTCATTGAGGATGATGTTGGAGTTCTGACGAGATCGGGCACATTCAAGGTTGTATGGCAATGATGTTGGAGTTCTGAAAGGGCTGAAAG